TCGAGTCGCATCAACGAAAACACCCAATATTGCGGCTGCGACTGCGATCAATCGCAGTCGCAAGCCGCAGTCGCTCGAGTCGCATCAACGAAACCGTACCTTTAAGGTACAGTTTCGTTGATGCGACTCGCGGCTGCGGCTTGCGGCTGCGACCTTAGCCGCGCCACTGCAGTGCACTGCTTAGTACAATTTGTGTGTATATGTTTTGGTTGGCGCGTTCAGTCGCAGTCTGCGACTGAACGCGTCAACCAAAACATATCCAAACAAATTGTACTAAGCAGTGGAGCGGCTACGATCGCAGCCGCAAGCCGCAGCCGCGAGTCGCATCAACGAATCCGTACCTTTATAAACAAAACGAATAAAAGCAATAACATCAATTTGAGGTTAAGACACTTCGTTTTTGGCGCAAATGATTCATTAATTTGAAATGAATGACGTCAGCCGCCGAAGCTCTCCATAAACAGCCGAAAACTTCCGAGGTTTCCGTGATTTTTAGTGTCGTCTCTATAAATAGCCCAATCTGGCAACTCTGATTGTGATGTGCAAGATACATACACCTTAAGATAGGATGGTGCGCATGACGTCACTTGATGAGTGTTTTTAAATCTTTAACGTGCTTTTTAATTATCTACTGCTAAAATTCTTGTTTTTGCGATGCTTTTGGATGTTAATTGCTCTACTTTTTGTTTAACTTGTCGTTTTTGTGTTCGGTAAGGTTCGAATTACTTTTCAGCGTTCAATTGAACGCTGATTTAACGTTAGCGTTAGCTAACGCAATAACAATAATTTAAATTATTGTTATTGCGTTAGCTAACGCTAACGTTAACCTGTTAGGTTTGTTTATTATTGTTTTTGTGTTCCGTTAACTTGTTTTGTTTGTGTTTTAGATTGTATAGTCCCATTTGCATTTATTAAAATGCGGTGTGGCATATTTGGATGCAATTCGGACAACCAGTCCAAGAAACACCCTTTAAATAAAAACATTAAATTTAATCGATTCCCGAAAAAGTATGATTTGTGGAAACAGTGTTTAAATGCCACAAAAATAATAGACGTTAAGACCGCTTCTGTTTCCTATAAACATTTTCTGGACAGTGACTATAAGTTTAATTTAAAACACCAACGCTTAAACTACAGCCCTAAATGTTATCAAGGACTGAAAGCATTTATTATCCATATTATAACACTTTCTTCAATATTAAGTTTAATAAAAACGCACTATGTCCAGAAATTTCTCTATTTTCTTTGATAATATTACAGTAATATTATTACTATTATTCGTGTATTCGCACGGCAACTACTCATCAAGTGACGTCATGCGCGGGACGAACCAAAACTCGTGCACGGGAGCATGTGTAACCAGTGTTGCCATCTTGGAGAATTTTTCACCATTTCTGGAGATTTTTTGTTCTTGGTTGAGACTTTTTAAGTTAGATTGCGACAACTCTCAAACCTGGAGAATTCAAAGATGCATTGGAGAGTTTTTAGCGAATTTTTAATAATTAAAATACAGAATAAAAAATATTAAAAGTTTTGGTTGGGTGCGTTTTACTAGTAATTTTTTAATTAAGTTGGTTATCCTGCAAGAATTTCAAGAATTCAACTTAGATTATCTAAGTTAGATACACTCCATTCACATATTTAAAAAATCGCTGTTGCTAGTGCACCGCGTGCGGTGTACTATTCTGCACCGCCAAATTATATATTACGTCATAAACCCAAACCAACCCAAACTCAACAACACAACCCAACCGACCCCGCCCCATTGCCCCCCCCAAGCCCCATTGAGCAAAAAAACCCAACTAAAACTTTTATGTTACGATAAAACTAAAACAAATTAACCAACCCAACCGAACACTGTTTAACAAAGAAACAACAAATTTATGAAATAAAAAAATAAAAAATGTTCTTAGAATCGAACCCGGGACCTCTCGCATGCCAAGCGCCCGCCCTACCATCTGAGCCATCTAACATGTTGTCAAATAATACGCTCGGGGAACAAAACGGATTATAATTATGACGTAATTGGCGGTGTAGAATAGTACACCCAACTTCGAAAATATTTATACAGAAGATATAGAAAAATATTTGGATCCTAATTAGGTTAACCCATACTTGGGATTTGCATTTGAAAATTCTTGTCGTGAAGCAGGGTTAAGCGATGCTATAAAAACTATGATTAAATCACGTTGTGTTTCCTTTTTGGTTCAATTATCTATTCAATTGAAAAATCGATTGCCAGGCAATCTTCAAATATTGGAGAAAATGAATAGATTTTCAATTGAAGAATGTTTTAAGCCAAATAAAGTGCCAATTACTGAAATTGCATTCGAGTTTCTTAAAGATCCTACATACTATAAGTACCCTGGCTGGAGAAAACTAATACAGAAAATTTTTGGGGAGAGGTAAATGATTACAGAGATGCATCTGGGGAAAATGGATTTAAAGATCTTGTAAATTTAGCTCTAAGACTATTATGTTTACAGTTGTATTCAATAAAAAAGCGTACAAGAATTAGAATGAGAGAAAACTGTCAAAATAATAGTATTGCTTAAAACCGGCTTATCACTGACATAAGTCATTAAAATAATTATTATAGGTTATAAAGAGCATTGACGTCGTAGGTTAATTAAATAATATTACAAAAATTATTACCTTTTAATAATGAAAAAAACAAACATTAAAAAAAACTTAATATTTAGTCATGCATCCCTGTTTTTCTATTACTTGAGCCAATCTATTTGGGATGAACTGAATTAAATTTAATACAATATTTGGATTAATATCTTCCCAGCAGTATAGTAGGTATAGTATAGTTGTATAGTTTCCCATAAATCCTCAGATATCTCAAAAAAGCAGCATCCTGTTCAGGGGTCGACATTTTGGGACGACCTGAACCAACTTTTTGGTTTAGTAAATCTTCCTGTTCCCATCGTTGCTTAATTTTTAATATAGATTTTTTATTTCTATTATACCACAGTACGAATTGACCATTCTTCTTCGATTCTTGATACTATTTGAGCCTTTTTAACTGACGAGGCATTTTTATTTTCTACTGTCAGTTATAGTGACTTAAGTCAGTGGAAAGCCGGTTTTACGCAATAATGTTGACAGTTATCTCTCATTCTAATTCTTGTACGCTTTTTTAATGAATACAACTGTACCACACTCCAACGCTGACGTTGAACGTGTATTATGAATGTGATTAAATCAAAAACAAGAAACAGGATGAAATTGCCATTATTAAATAATCTTTTATATATTAGATTTGGCCTTAAACGGTTACAGTTATGCTGTAAGGACTACCTCCTCCCTGACAATGTTTTAAGACAAATAGGTACAGTTGTATTCATTAAAAAAGCGTACAAGAATTAGAATGTGAGAGAACTGTCAACATTATTTTGTAAAACCGGCTTTCCACTGACTTAAGTCACTATAACTGACATTAGAAAATAAAAATGCCTCGTCAGTTAAAAAGGCTCAAATAGTATCAAGAATCGAAGAATGGTCAATTCGTACTGTGGTATAATAGAAATAAAAAATCTATATTAAAAATAAAGCAACGCTGGGAACAGGAAGATTTACTAAACCAAAAAGTTGGTTCAGGTCGTCCCAAAATGTCCACCCCTGAACAGGATGCTGCTTTTTTGGGATATCTGAGGATTTATGGGAAACTATGCAACTATACTATACCTACTATACTGCTGGGAAGATATTAATCCAAATATTGTATTAAATTTAATTCAGTTTATCCCAAATAGATTGGCTCAAGTAATAGAAAAACAGGGATGCATGACTAAATTTTAAATTTTTTTTAATGTTTGTTTTTTTCATTATTAAAAGGTAATAATTTTTGTAATATTATTTAATTAACCTACAACGTCAATGCTCTTTATAACCTATAGTAATTATTTTAATGACTTATGTCAGTGATAAGCCGGTTTTAAGCAATAATATTATTTTGACAGTTTTCTCTCATTTTAATTCTTGTACGCTTTTTTATTGAATACAACTGTACTTAGGTACCAAAAAAATATACAATGAGACTGATGAATCAATAGATTATTTAATTGAATATATTGGTACAATCTAAATCCTTTTACAGTTTAAACTGTAAATGGATTTAGATAGTACTAATTATTAATTATCCTGTATGCCTGTAGCTTTAAAAATTATTTTTTTGTTATTTTTATGTTATTAAAAAATTTTTATTATATGAAAAGGCATTAAAGCATCATATTACAAAGTAGTGTTTTTTTATTTTAAATAAACTGTTTTATAATTTTTGCATTTTGTGTCCATACAAACCTCTTTATTTTTGCCCATTAAGAGTATTGGAGATTTTTTTTGGTAAAGTTGAAGAATTCTGAAGAGTTCGTTTAGGTTTTTGAGAATTTTAACATTTTACTGTTGGCAACACTGTGTGTAACATTACAGTTACATAACCTGACGCGGTTTGCAAATAGGTTCCTATTTTCCACTATGTTAACATACCCGGACAATAATCGGGATTTTCTGGTGAAGTCATGATGATATTACAACGTGATATCATGTAGAACTCACTGTGTGATATTTGCAAAATTTGTGCATGCGTATGAGCCCTGCGAACTGCGAATTTAAAACCACGATACCTAATTTTGCCAAACAAAAACCTTGTTAAACAGCTTAAGCTTTTATTTACAAAATAACATTGTTCTATTATACCTATTATATCAATTGTTATATATATTTATGCCACTGTCCTGTAATTGGGAGAATCCTGTTGGGCAATAAAGATTATTATTATTATTCAGAAGGGTAATTTCGAGTAGAACAGTTCATTGCATAATATTAGTCTGGATAAAACATATTTAATAATGAACTGTAACTGTGGAAATTATCGTTTCAAGTACGGTTTTTATGTGCGTTGGAAGTTAACTTGGAATTCCAACGCACATAAAAACCAACTTGGAACAGACCTATATTTCCATTGAGCGACATTCCCAAATTTATACTACCGGCTGTTTTGGCAACGTTGCATTTAGATTTTTCCAAGCCGTACGAGGGCGCTTTCATTAAAATTAAAATTTTATCATTAAGATACTCATCTATTGGTTTGGCCTCTTGCTCCATCGCTGGAATGGTTTATACTAATTTTTTTATTGGGAAAAGTAATAGAGTAAGAAAAAACCTATATTTAGTTTTTTTTTAATTATGAGTTTTCTCACTTTTTTAGGATTCTTTCTAATTTTTTTTAAGTGGTTGGGGCTCAGGTTAAAAATTAATTTAAAAATTTAAAACTTTGGAATTACATTAAGAAGGGTAAAAAATTAAGAAAAAACCAGGTTTGAAAAAAAAAGATTAAACATTATAAGTTTTTCCCACTTTTTTAGGATTTGTTCTAATTTAAAAAAAGTTTAAAAATTAATTTAAAAAAGTAAAACAAAATCTCGTTTTACCCCTTTTTAAGGATTTGTTCTAATTTTTTTAATTAAAAGTGGACGGGGCTCAGGTTAAAAATTAATTAATTTTTTTTATTATTTCCGTTATTAGCACATCTTTTTTTCAAATAATTTATATAAATATATATATTTATATAAATTATAATAGCTATAGCTATTACCCTAAATCCGGCTTATTGCCGAGAATAAATTTCAGTAGATTGTACAATCACGTGTGCGAGGCAATTATAGTATATTAATAATATAATATTATACTACAAGGGCAGAAAGTGTGAGATTCCTGCATGGCGCGCAGTTCAGGTCTCATATATGAGAGTATACTTTCTGCCCGTGTAGTGTATACTATTTTTCTTGTTACCCGGCCGAAAATACGGGAAAAAATTAAATGTGTATATCGAAACATATTGATGCCTGCCCCGACATTTGCGGCACGAGCGATATTATAGAGGGCGCGCGTATAGCTTAACCATATCTCGATATATTTGTATATTTTTTATTTTGTATACATGTATGTATTTTCTATAGAAGGATAAAAAATTACATTTTCTTACTACCTCGGCCGAAAATACGTAGGTATAGCTTGACCAATGCATCAAACGAAAACTTTCTGCCGTGGAATCGGGGACGAAACAACGTATTTTCGGCCGAGGTAGTAAGAAAATAAGCTTTTACCGCCGTGTTTTATATACCTTTCTTTTTCAAGCATTTAATTAAATAATTTCGTAAGATTCTGTCGTATCATTTTTAGGTTAGGTTTTGTGCACAGACATAATGACATTTTAGCCATAGACCTTTCTCTATGATTTTAGCTTAAATGCGTAGCTTTCTGTACCAAATAGAGCAGAGACAAAGAATTTCTTTGAAAGAAGGTAAGAGAGTAGACTCTACTCTCTCAGTTATTACATTGTTTAAAGAATGACTCACTCAACGGTATTAATATAGTCTTTCTATACAGTCTTATGATTGTGAGTGTTATAATCATGCCCTGTGCACTCGCCTTAAACAAACAAAATCCACATTTTTGTCTAGTCGACTTTGGTTTTAGTTTACACTCGAGTTGCATGTGGCAGGAGCGGCGGTTAATCTTGACGGTTGCTTGGTAACGAAATCAACAAACTTCAGTTTGATAAATTTTGTAAAGTTTTGTAAATTCATATTGTGTTTATTTGGTTTGTTCTGTACGCTTAAAAACTTTTAAAATTGCGATTTATCGTTATCTGTGTACTCTATTTTTTATATATTGCCACATTATTTGAACATTAACATGGTGTTGTGCTGTGCTGTGGGCTGCTCTAACAGTCAAGTTATGATGCATACTTTTCACAATGATGACCAGGTTGTATTGTATTATTTAATTATAACTATTTTATTAAAATAATGATGTAGGTACTAACACAAATGTGGTACATAATATTATTACTTTGTACTGATTTGTGTTCTTTAATAAGATAAAATTCACTTGAATACATTATTATATTGTTAATTGGTTTAGTTTAGTAAATACCTTGAATAATTTAAAATATAATACATTTATTTTTGCTTTTTAAATAAACAATTTAAATAAACTATCAGGCCTTTTATTTTTTACTATTTTGACTGTCAAAATTTGACAGGATAACCTAAATTAAAACCATAACCTAAAACCAATAAATGTCAGGCGGCATATACTTTTTCTATGGGGTACACTAGCGGCATAGCGGACCGAGTGTGCGTAACAAGGAGCGTCAAATATGTGACAGTGGCGTATCTATATGATTTATTATCTATGGTTATAATTTGAAAATCATTTCACGCTTGAAAAAAACTATATTTTATGTAGTTATATCACATAATATTCTGTGGTTATATCATTCACAAACAACATTTTATTCAGTTTATTCCACGTGACCTTTTTAATATTTGACCTTTGTAATCTTAAAACAAACATTTATTAAATTAATTATTATTATCCTAATTCTTAGTAAAAATGGTGCGAGCTTGGTATATGGACAATGATACAAGTGATCAAAGAAATGAACACCATAGGAACCCCCCTGTTTTTATTGATTTAAATGTAAATACCTTGAATAATTTAAAATATAATACATTTATTTTTGCTTTTTAAATAAACAATTTAAATAAACTATCAGGCCTTTTATTTTTTACTATTTTGACTGTCAAAATTTGACAGGATAACCTAAATTAAAACCATAACCTAAAACCAATAAATGTCAGGCGGCATATACTTTTTCTATGGGGTACACTAGCGGCATAGCGGACCGAGTGTGCGTAACAAGGAGCGTCAAATATGTGACAGTGGCGTATCTATATGATTTATTATCTATGGTTATAATTTGAAAATCATTTCACGCTTGAAAAAAACTATATTTTATGTAGTTATATCACATAATATTCTGTGGTTATATCATTCACAAACAACATTTTATTCAGTTTATTCCACGTGACCTTTTTAATATTTGACCTTTGTAATCTTAAAACAAACATTTATTAAATTAATTATTATTATCCTAATTCTTAGTAAAAATGGTGCGAGCTTGGTATATGGACAATGATACAAGTGATCAAAGAAATGAACACCATAGGAACCCCCCTGTTTTTATTGATTTAAATGTTCTTAAAGATGTTTCAGGTGTAGAATACTTTCAGGTTAGTTTTTAATAGAACATTTTAATTTCATTTAAAGCAGTAAAAATTGCAGTTAAATTTGAAGACATTTACAACAGATGGTACTTTGGACAAAATTAAAAGGGAACGAGGGTATACTTATGAAGATGAATTAACTTGCTCAAAGGAGTGTTTAGAAAATTATGAGGAAAAATTGAAAATTTTTTATAAAGAGCATTTGCATACTGATGAGGAGATAAGGTTGATTGTTGAAGGTTCTGGTTATTTTGATGTTCGAGACATAAATGATGATTGGATTCGAATTGAAGTAGTGCCTGGTGATCTTTTAATTTTACCCAGTGGCATCTACCACAGGTTTACAATGGATAATAATGTAAATATTAATATTGTTTAATTTTTGGAAACTTATAACTTGTATATTTTTTAGAACTTTATAAAAGCAAAGAGATTATTTATTGGCGAACCAGTTTGGACAGCTCATAATAGACCTTCAGATGATATAGAATGTCGAAAAAAATATGTTGAAAAATTATCTAAAATATAACAGTTCAACACAATTTCCCTCTTATGAAAAATTTTTACATTTTTTGAAAATAAAGTAAATAAATTTTTAAAAAAATTATAATTAATTTATAATTATTATATAATTAATAATTAAATTATTATTATTATATCCCGGACAACAATCGGGATTTCCTGGTGAAGTCATGATGATATCACAACGTGATTTTTTTTATCACGCTGTGATAACCTGAGTGCATACACATGCTTCATCACAGTGATATCATGTAGAACTCACGGTGTGATATTTGCAAAATTTGCGTATGTGTATGAGCCCTGCGAACTGCGAATTTAAAACCTAGTTTGTTATTCACATTACACCGTTATAATTTTTAAAACGTTGTTTGAATATCACGAATGTTGTCTGTGTTAAATGGTAAAATCCATAAATGAGTCATTTGAAAATTTGGAGTTTGCGAATGCAGTTTTTTGCGACCTTAGTAAGGCCTTTGACTGTGTCTCTCACTCTTTACTTCTGAAGAAATTAAAGGCCTACAATTTCTCAGCGAATAGTGTAAAACTCATTGAGTCATACTTAGCAAATAGATATCAGGTGTGCAGGGTTGAAGGCAGGGTGAGTCAGAGGATGGAGTTACGAGTTGGGGTTCCCCAGGGTTCTATTCTTGGACCTATCCTGTTTTTAATTTCCATTAATGACTTGTGCTGCAATAATGGCGCGGTGGGTTTTACACTTTTTGCTGATGATACCACAATAATATTGAAACACTCAGATATTGAACTACTAAATGAAGAGAGCGAGCGTGCACTGTCAGAGGCTGAGCTATGGTTTACCAGTAACAGACTTGTTTTAAACAAAGAAAAAACACAAAATCTTATTTTTTCTTTAAGACCTATAAATGATGGATACCCACTAAAACCAGTCAAATTTCTAGGAATCTTATTAGACCACAAATTAAGATGGAATTGCCATGTTGATGCGTTATCCAAAAAATTGAGCACCAGTATATTTGTCATGCGTAACTTAGTTGGTAATGTCTCTAGTGATGTACTGTTAAGTGCATATTATTCGCTATTTGAGTCACATATATCTTACGCTCTAATTGTGTGGGGTCGACCCCACACAATTAGAGTGATCACTCTGCGGAATGTTATAAAATATTCGGTCTTCAACGCAAGGTAATAAGGATCATCGCCTCTCTTGGTTACAGGGACGACTGTAGGGCTATGTTTAGTAATCTTGGAATTCTAACACTATAGTGTTGTAAATGACATATAAAATCATATATGAAAAATCCCTGCTGGTTTCAATATGATACTATATGATTTTTGAAACAGACATTACATATAAGACCATATTGAAAACGCAGCATATTCATTTCTACACAGGCGTATAAAAAACTGACCATATACAATTTATTACCTATAAATTCATATTCATTCATATATGATTTAAGATGGATTTTCATATAAATTTCTGTCATATAAAACCATATAAACACATACAGTTCATAATACTGATTACATATTGAATCCATAGTGTCATATAACAAACTATAAAAACATATAGAAACACTGTACGGATTCTATATGTTTCTACTGGTCATTTTCAACAGGGATACCCTCCTTATATATTTTACAAAATTTACTTTATGTTAAAAATAATTTGAATTTGACCACAATACAAGGAATAAAAATCAGCTTATGAATAAATTTTCCAGGCTCAATAAATGCCAAAGTGGACCAGATTTTAACGGGATAAAATTTTACAACAAACTTCCAATCAACATAAAAAATATGGCTTTTAAGGAATTTAAGTTATATCTAAAATCTTTATTTGTAAATAACGTGTTTTATTCTGTAAACGAGTATTTTGAGTACCAATTTTAATGTTTTAATTATATATTTACCTATATTATGTAAGTTTGTACTTTTAAAGTATTTGTGATTAGTCTTTTCTTTCTACTTTTCTTTTTTTTTGACGTTGTAAACAATTTGTATTGTATTAGCACTAATAAAGATTATTATTATTATTATTAAAAAAGATATTCCAATGTTCAACGTTCACCCGGACAACATTCGTGATATTCATACGAACATCATCATCGTGATTTTCTAAATTTTATTAATACTGATATTATACGGAAGTCACCGCGTCATAAATGAAAATCATACGAACGTGACGTCGCACAGTGGTTAGAAATCCCAAAAAGCTGGCCAAAACCCAAAATTTACCTTTCAGGGTAAATCTTAACAAAATCTGTTAGTGTAGTAAAATCTAAAGGGACAGAGCATAAGATCGCCTTTTAGACTGTAGGTGTTCTTTCAAAGTTCGCCCTTTTAACGAACACCTGTCACTCTGGCGTTTATTCACTTTTATGCGTCGCGGCAAATAACGGAATTTTTAGGTGTAAAAGTGTTGCGAAGAGATCGGAAAAAATGGGAGATGTTCCTGAAGGTTTGTACATTATTTACAAATGTTTCATCATGAGTTTTTTAATTATTTTAATTTGCGGCAAAACTTTTAAATTTGACATGTTTAAATTTCTGTATTTCCATACGGAGCATGCATGCATGAATAAATGCAACGAAATAGTAGTGATCCGGCGAGATCCGGAACAGTTGCAAACTGTTTCATGTGTAAAAAAGTATAAACAATTAAATGACGCAGACGAAACTTCCACCTTTGTCCACCTTTTAGTGAAAAAAATATTTATTGCAATAGCGCAGGAGGAAGTAAAGCTTGCGAGCGTCGAAAAACCGAGCTCGCTGAACGTAACAATAGGTAGTTTCTTAATCTAAATAGTATATACTGGGTGTTCATTTTAAACATCATTTGATCTTCATCAATGGTGACGATTTTCAATGCATGTTCGGGTCATTTTTAAGTCTTTTATTAAAATCTTGAACGAATGTATTAACGATTTTTCAAAATGTATTCATGATTTACTTTCAGTTTTAAATTTAAACATGAAGATGGGTTTTTATTTTATTTTAGTTATTATTAACATGTAAATAAAATTTGTTTCATGGATACCGTATGAAAGCCGCTTTTCTTTCATGATTTTTTTTTCTAAGAAACCCTTTATACCCCCAAAAAACCCTGACCTACTTTTTTGTTCAATAAAAATCATGAAACAACTCCGCCATTTTGTATCCGCCATTTTGTTGTTTAAAAAACTAATATTAAATTCGTAATCAGCTATTACGAGAACCCCCAAATTAGTATTTTTGCTAAAATTAAATCATTCCGCCATTTTGTATCCGCCATTATTTTTTTTAAACTAACATCAGATTCGTAATCAGCGACCGAAAAAACCCCCGAACTATTATTTTTGTTTGAAAAAAATCATAAGTCATGAAACAACTCCGCCATTTTGTATCCGCCATTTTGTTTTTTAAAAACTAACATAAAATTCGTAATCAGCGACCCCAAAAACCCTGGTATAAGAAAATTTCACGCAAAATTACAACATTTTCGAGTTTTGACCAGCTTTTTGGGATTTCCGACCACTGTGCGTCGTGATTTTCACAAATTCATCACGCAGTGACATCATCCGGATGTCACTGCGTGAGAAATGAAAATCATGTCGTGATTTTTTGTGCCATCACTGTTTGCGATTGACCGATGGCCTAAAAAATCACGACATGATTGTTTATGCCATCGGTGCACCGACATGTTTGGATATTTATTTTTGCGCCACATTCGTACATTGAAAGAAAAATTATGTTAACAATTGAATTACCGGTTTTTGCGGTCAAATACATTTAATATTTTCTTGGATGTAAATTAACTATAAATTGTAATTCAAAAAAATATTGAAGGTATTTAACCACACAAACTGTTTATTCAATATATATGTATACCTATAGGTATACTTTTTCTCTCAATGTACGAATGTGGCGCAAAAATAAATATCCAAACAGCGATGGCATAAAAAATCACGACATGATTTTTTATGCTATCGGTGTTTGGGCATAAAAAATCACGACATGATTTTTTATGCCATTGGTGCACCGAAATGTTTGGATATTTATTTTTGCGCCACATTCGTACATTGAAAGAAAAAGTATGTTAACAATTGAATCAACAGTTTAACATTCAATATTTTCTTGGATTTAAATTAACTATATATAGCTAATTTAAATCCAAGAAAATATTGAATGTATTTAACCGCAAAAACTGTTGATTCAACATAATTTTTCTCTTAGTGTACGAACGTAGCGCAAAAATGATTATCCAAACACCGTTGGCATAAAAAATCACGACATGATTTTTTGTGCCATCGGTCAATCGCAAACAGCGATGGCATAAAAAATCACGACATGATTTTCACTTCTCACGCAGTGACATCCGGATGATGTCCGTATGAATAAAATTTGTGAAAATCACAACGTGACGTTCGTATGATTTTCATTTATCACGCGGTGACTTTCATTTATCACGCGTATGATATCAGTATGAATAAAATTTGTGAATATCACGAATGTTGTCCGGTATAATATATTATCAAAGCTGTTACATTATGTGCCAAACGTTTTTCAAGTCTATTTTCAAAATCTGTAGGAATTTTTCATGGAAGGCAAATAAATCAAATTTTGTTATAGTGTGTAATAATTAAAAATTAAAAATTAAAAACAAACTAATTGTGTATGCATTTTAATAATAATACAAAAATATAAAGAGATCACATTTTTAGGTTTTTTATATAAAAAATTACTAAATAATTTACGATTCACAATAAGTATAACACAGCAAGGACAAATTGGTAACTTAATCAAAATACCTAAATTATATAATTACACTATTTTTTATGCCTCGTAATTGCAAATTCGTCGTCTGACTCTAACTCATTTTCTGATAGAGACAAAGATCCACCAGCTCTTCTTAATTGAAGTAATTCTTGATTTTCCTAAAAGAAAATTTGGACTTTATTAGTGTGCAAAATATTTTTTTATTTTGGATTAACAACCCCATACCATATACACAAAACTGATTTTTTTAACAGTACAAAAAAAGGGTCCAACAAGAACTTTTAAAATTTTTTAATCAAATCAAATTTATTATTAAAAAATTTAGTTATCACAATAACAGGTTATACAGTATAGAACAGTCCCTAAGCCCCATGGGTTTGTGTAGACTAGAGAAATGCTAACATAAAACATGAAAAACAATGTTACTTAAATGGACATCATTAAGGATATTAATTTTTAAATTCAAATTCTTGTTGGAACACCTGAAATAATCAGCAACAACACGGACAATGAATTACTGGTTTCTGAAATACCCTTTTCGTTACAACAACCAACGGTAGTAATTGTTATATACTGGCTCATTTAGACCTTTAGAGTGTTTCTAAAATCACTAATTTTACTATGTTAGTAAAGTTACCACTAAATATTAAACTAGAAATTATCAGGTAGACTATTTCCATGCCAACTTAGTTGTCTAAAATACTAAATAACAAAAAGTTAATATCATTTCACCGTTGAAAATACGTAAATGCGTAAGTATCTCGATTTTGTTGCTAAACAAAAATTGTTTAGAGACCGTCCATAAATCTCGTGATGCCCTACCACGTCACAGAAATAAAACAACAAATAAGAAATTTCATTCAATTTACTTTCTCACGTGACGTTTTAATAAACCCCTTCCCCCTTTAGCGTCACGAGATTTATAGACGGCCCCTTAACTACAATATTAAGTTATAAAGGTTAACATATTTTTGCTTAGCACAAAAAATAAGATACGCCGTTACGTATTTTCAAGTGCAATTTTTAAAAATATGAAGATAAACAAAACATTTTAAACTTACTGTGTCACTTAATCCAACAGTCGGCTCTGACGCATAACCTCCACGGCCATCCTCATATTCATCATCTGATGAACTGGAACTGGATGCTTCTTCTTCATAGGGCCTACAACACATAAAATAATTAGTAATAATTATTATTATTATGTATTATGGCTCTACAAGGCCCTACGAAAACGTTTACCTGGCCACTTTGCAAACCATTTGTGCTAAATCGGTGAATGTGTACCCTGAAACAGTGTGTTCGCAGGAAGAAGTCCTGTGTACCTCGGCCTGCTTGAATATCGGCAAATTGCCGGCCCTCATTTGACCCTCAAAATAGGCCTTGCCGTGCTGATAACCAACATCTTTTATTTCGTCGAAGCTGCCGAATTGCAACGTCCTATATTTGTCGATTGGCGGTCTTATGTATTCGCAATAATCACTGGTTTTTACTTCCTAAAATTATCAATCACAATTTTTGTTTAAATAAATATCTAAAGATTTGTTTTTATGTATACTGGGCAGTGTCGCTTCCCTATCAATAGTATTCAAACAATCCCTATCAATAGTATTCAAACAATTTTATAGCTGGTATTGATTCAATACCAGCTATAAAATTGTTTGGACAAAATTTATTATTCACCAATATTACATAATAATATAGTTTAAAACAAGTGTTACAATGACCCTTATTTATATACCAAGTATCACAATAAGTCATTGTAACACGAGTTTTTCATACTATTTTGTCTATTTCGACCATAATTACTCAATAAATTAAATAAAAAACAAACAAGTAGTTTTTTCATGTTACTAGGTAGGCACAATTGACGTGAAGCAAAATGTCAAAATTTAATATTCATGCCAATTCACTAACATGAGACGTTAACGTTAACCATTAGAATCAATGGTTATTGGGCAATCCGGCCATACGGGCCGTTTAAATATAACTATAACCACTGATTCTAGTGGCTAACGTTAACAACCTATGTTAGTGAATTGGCCTGAATGTCAGTCAATAAAACGTCAAATTTTGTTTTGTCAATTGTAATGCTATAAGACACACAGTTTACATTAGCTATTTGTGTATTAAGAGCGCAAAGTGATACATTGTCGCTCTGAGCGAGAGCGACAATGTCACTTTGCGCTCGAATCACAGACAGGATTTTTTTTCTACAACCGGTGTTTCTATAAGAATGTTTGGTAAACATTAATTATTATTGGTAACCTCAAATTTGAGGTTTATGTCAAAAGTCGCAAATACACTAAACGTTGACGTTGTGCTATGATTTTTCCTTATTCGACCTTTAAAAATATTTTCAATAAAAAATTTCTCTTAGCGATGCGTTGAGTGTGACTACCCTTTTTTTCCTTGGCCGTTAATTTGTATGCGATTTTTAATTTTTAAGAATTTTTAAGAATGAGTGGTACTCCTTGGATTTTATTCACATTTTATAATAAAATTTTGATAATAAAACTAGAAAAACAAGTTAATCTACTCATATTGCATAATATTTAGTTTTTTCAGTGAATAATGATAAATATTAAAAATTCCCTGCCTGACAACGGAAATAATAAACTCATTATTCACTGCATCAATGATAAACTAAACAGAAAGTGGTACCAAGTTCTCGATTTAATGTTATTTAATGGTACACACAAGTTCTCCTTTTAATGGTATTAAATGGTGCACATCTTGTTTTTAATAATAAATTTTTACTAGTAATACCACTAGAGGTCAAATTATTTCCGGAAGACGAGGGATAATTTTCTAAAAATATTCATGAGGGAGAAAAAATTTCCGGATTTAATTTGACCTCGTGTGGTATTCGGTAAGAAAATTCCACACCAAATTGTGTTTAAATAATTAAAATTTATTTTTTGATTTAACTTGACCTCGACTTGATTATTTAGTTACCATGGCAACTAAGTCAACCCCAACCTAAAAGTTATTTCAGTTTTGAAGCTGTCAAGCGGCACGACGTAAAAAAATGTGAAATTGTCTGCCGTAATGATCAATCATCGTGCAATGACTTATTTACCCGCATTATTAGAGGATTGTGGCTCCTACTTGAAGAAAGAAAATTTGTTTTGAATTGTTCACGAATATTTGCATCTTAACTATTCAAAACTCAAAGTGCTAAATGGAAAAAAAGGTGAATAGAATAGTGTCTAAATATTATATATATTTCATTAGACATAGACATTTAATTTATTTTATGCACGATGACATTATAATATGACAATTATAACAAAAATTCTTTGACGTAAACGTCTTTTTATAGCCCGCGGGCGTTATTATGACCCAGCGGGCTATAATGAAACGTCAAAAATTAAAAACAACAATGTTACACCATTTGATATATTCGAAGTAAGTTTTTTCGTATAAAGATTTTGATTTTTCCGGCAGCAGGCCGCAATTTTTCGCCTTTTCAGCTGACATCAGTCAGTTTTAAAGTTTAAAGATGAATGAAATTGAGGAAGCAGCTGAAAAGGCGAAAAATTGCTAGTTGACATTATAATATGACAATAGAGTAATTGCATCAAAAATGAAAATCCCTAAAAACCTTTTTAATGTAATCTAGAGGTAAAAACACATTGCAAAAATATTTTTTTATATTCCAAAAGTTCAACCCGGCCCCAAAATATCAAATTAAAAAAAAGGTACTTTTCAAACGTTCCGAACTCCCGCCAAATTGCATGACGTCATAAGCTCCAACTGTCAGAAATCAAGATGTCAACAAATAATAAACACCGATAAAGTTTATGTTTAACATGGAAAAGGCGAAACCAAAAATTGGTTGTAAATATTGTTTTGTGCCTTGTTGTACAAATACAACCTGGAAAACTCCTGGGAAAGTTGTCCCTTCAATTATCAAAAGCAAAGTTTATGACCCTACACTGAGAGTAGTTACGGCTCAGCCGTATTTTCTTGGGTTTATTAATATTTAACATACCTATTCAAACCATATACCTAGTAAACGACATTTTATTTTACTTACATTAAAATGATCCTTAAAATGATCAATAAAATGTTGACTGCGGTGACGATGTTTTGATATCGCGCCGAGCTATTTTAATCCACTTTATCCTTATTTTCCCTTTTGGCACGGTGATAAACCTTTTCCCAGGAGTTTTCCAGGTTGTATTTATACAAGGCACAAAACAATATTTACAACCAATTTTTGGTTTCGCGTTTTCCATGTTAAACTTTATCGGTGTTTATTATTTGTTGACATCTTGATTTCTGACAGTTGGAGCTTATGACGTCATTCAATTTGGCGGGAGTTCGGAACGTTTGAAAAGTACCTTTTTTTCAATTTGATATTTTGGACCCGGGTTGAACTTTTGGAATATAAAAAAATATTTTCGCAATGTGTTTTTACCTCTAGATTACAATAAAAAGGTTTTTAGGGATTTTCATTTTTGATGCAATTACTCTATTATAACAAAAATTCTTTGACGTAAACGTCTTTAAAAACAATAATATATTAAAAATAATAATATATTAATCGTGCATAAAGTTTTGTATGCATTGCTGGCATAACTGGTTTTTATGGTCCTACGACGCATTTCTAGCCCTCGCGCTAACGCGCTCGGGCTCGAAATAGCGCCTCGGACCATAAAAACCTTATTATGCCCTTAATACATAAATAACTATTAAGTCCTGCATTTTCGCCATTAAGAAGAAAGGAGTTGTCCAACGAATATAGAAAACATCTAAACTTTGTAATGGAAATGTATCAAAATTATCATGTAAACAAATAAAAACCAGATTGTCAAAAAAATATTCTGTCATTATAAACGTCAAAAAAATTTCCAGTATAATTCGCTGTTGGGTACCCACGAGGAAAAAATTTCCAATAAAATTCAACCGTTGCCATGGTGATCTATCAAAAATACACGTTTTGATTGGTTAAAAATTACAGGTGTGGAATTTTCCATTTAAATCTTAGCTTACCAATAGCCTAGTCTAGGCAGTTTTCTTGATTGTGAGTTTATTATTCCTAAGCTGTCAAACCACAGAAGTTCAAAGACCACAAAACATACATTATCCTACTAAAATATTCCTAGAGGTTTTGTCTAGGTGGGCGTTTCTCTGTAAACTGGGCAACTCATTGTCTCAAGCTAATATTGTTTAGAAAAATAACAGATCATAAATATTTCGTAGATAACTTCAAAAGATAATAACCTAATCTACCTATGCTCGACGTTCAAAATCCAATAAAATAAACTTTAATGTATCAAAATCGTTTTTATAGTCCTTAAAAACCAGTCCCCTGACGTGTCACCAAAGCAAAATGGTCACTTCAGACTAAATTAATTAAAGACAGTAACTATTGGAATCAACCTAATTGTTTAATTATTCAACCAATATTGTTTGCTTGTTACTGTGACTTATTTATTTTTTATAATTATTATTTTGTAATTCTAAAAAAGTCATCTAAACTTTGTCTCCGGATTTTATAAACAGTCCTCTGTATAGATTTTTCAGAAAATGCTTAATGTTTTCCAATGTTTTCCAAAGTAATTTTGGTTCATCTGCCGTATACTAATAAATAGACCGATATTTATTCCTCGAATAACATTTATTAAATACAACAAAAATATAACAAAAAAACTTGTCTAGACAATTTCTTACTTCAAGTTGCCCAGTTTACAGAGAAACGCCCAGGTACATTATTTAGAAATTCAGGGAATTACAGACAACATTTAGCGGTTGCGATGCGCAACTTGCGCGCTTCTCTGGTTTGGAGCTACTGAACAAAACTGCATCCCCTTGTATCTGGCTGCATGCCGCGCTCTTGCCATATGCTATTATTGTTTCCTAAAAGGGTTGTTTTTCTTATTTTTTAATATTAAAAGTAAGAAAATTAACTAAATCAAATTATTTTTGACATATTAAATTTTTTGTTATTTTTAAAGTTTCAAACAAATAAAATTGAACTATTTATTAAATAATTATAATCGTTCTTTTCTGATTTAAAACAACCTGGCAACTATGGTTCGTAATTACGAATGGCTTGGTTTAAACCCCGCCCAATTAAAGTTTGTTTCTTTTTCTCTGATCAGAATATAATTTGTCATCCTTGTCTCCAGCCTTACTTACTTGATTCTATACAGTCTGTATAATGATACAAAATCGTTAAATATGGTACCTAAACTGACGATGGTACGAAGAACAAAAAAATGGTATAAATACCATCATAATAATACGACTGGAAACACTGGCTGACTGTAATACACTTTCCAACTTGCATAATACCAACCAAGGAAAAATATAAAGCATGAGTATGAGTATTAGGAACGTATGGCTGGCCCCATCGGCAACTCCTTGCACTGATCTCTCAGGGTTATTTTTACCTCCTTTCAGTTCTCCTACGTGACGGGCACTGAACGGTTTTACCTGTGTTTGGTGGAAATTTCACCCCGGTTGGTAAATCTCGCCTAGGAGT